AGCCACCGCACCCGGCCCCCCCACCTTTTTTTTTGAGACGGAATCTCATTCTGTTGCCCAGGCTGGAGTTCAGTGGCAGGATCTCAGCTCACTGCAATCTCCGCCTCCAGGGTTCAGGTGATTCTCTTGCCTCAGCCTCCCAAGTAGGTGGGACTATAGGCGCCCGCCACTGCACCTGGCTAATTTTTGTATTTTTAGTAGAGACAGGGTTTCAACATGCTGGCCAGGCTGGTATTGAACTTCTCACCTCTGGTGATCTGCCTGCCTTGACGTCCCAAAGTGGTGGGATTACAGGCGTGAGCCACCAGGCCCAGCCTCACTGTAAGATATTAGCAAATTTTGTCTCTATATCAGAATACATTTCAGAATGCCCTTCCTGGAGCACAACAGACACTGTCTCTCAAAAAGTTCCTTGAACTAGCTTCACCATGTTGCTGACGCCCTTGCGAATTAAAGAAAATATCTTATACATATTCCTTCATTATTTGTATGAAAGTCATGCTTTTCACATTGTGAAAATTACACTTCAGGCTGGGTGCAGTGGCTCACACCTGTAATCTCAGCACTTCAGGAGGCCAATGTGGCCAGATCACTTGAGGCCAGAAGTTTGACACCAGCCTGGCCAACATGGCGAAACCCCATCTCTACTAAAAAAAAATCAAAATTAGCTTGGGGGTGGCACACACCTGTAATTCCAGCTACTTGGGAGGCTGAGGCACAAGAATTACTTCAACCCAGGAGACGGAGGTTGCAGTTAGCTGAGATCATGCCACTGCACTCCAGCCAGAGCCAGAGCAAGACTCTGTCTCACAGAAAAAAAAAAAAGAAGAAAATTATACTTTGATACAGTATGCTAATATAAAGGATATAATATGGCTTGGCTTTGCGTCCCCAACCAAATCTCACCTTGAATTGCAATAATCCCCACGTGTCAAGGGTGGGACCAGGTGGAGATAATTGAATCATGGGGGCTGTTCTCGTGATAGTGAGTGAATTCTCGCGAGATTTGATGGTTTTAATTACAGGTTTTCCCCTTTGCTTGGCTCTCCTTCTCTCTCCTGTTGCCCTGTGGAGAGGTGTCTTCTGCCATAATTGTGAGTTTCCTGAGGCCCCCCCCAGCCATGCAGAACTGTGAGTCAACTTAAACCTCTTTTCTTTATAAATTACCCAGTCTTGGGTATTTCTTCATAGCAGCATGAGAATGGACTAATGTCAGGAGAACCTGCTCGCAATGGTTAACGTGAGTTCTTTTCTATTTCCTAGGCATCTCAGCTGGTTTGAGAAATAAAGGGAAAGAGCACAAGAGAGAGAAATTTAAAGCTGGGTGTCCAGGGGAGACATCACATGTCGGCAGGTTCTGTGATGTTCCCTGAGCCCTAAAACCAGCAAGCTTTTATTAGCGATTTTCAAAAGGGGAGGGAGTGCATGAATAGGGTGTGGGTCACAGAGATCACATACTTCACAAGGTAATAAAATATCACAAAGGAGGTGGAGGCAGTGCGAGATCGCAGGACCACAGGATGGGGTGAAATTAAAATTGCTAATGAAGTTTCAGGCACACATTGTCATTGATAACATCTTATCAGAAAACAGGGTTTGAGAGCAGACAACCTGTCTGACCAAAATTTATTAGGTGGGAATTTCCTCAGTCCTAATAAGCCTGGGAGTGTTACAGGAGATGGGCTTATTTCATCCTTTCGCTTTGACCGTAAAAGCTTTGACCGTAAAAGGCGGTTGCCTTAAGGGGGCCGTCTATAGACCTACCCTCAGGACTCATTCTCTTTCTCAGGGGTGTTCCTTGCTGAGAAAAAGAATTCAGCGATATTTCTCCTATTTGCTTTTGAAAGAAGAGAAATATGGCTCTGTTCCACTTTGCTCACTGGTGACCAGAAGTCTTATCTCTCTTGTTCCCTGAAGATTGCTGTTATCCTGTTCTTTTTTCAAGGTGCCCAGACTTCATATTGTTCAAACACACATGCTCTACAAACAATTTGTGCAGTTAATGCAATCATCGCAGAGTCCTGAGGTGACATATATCCTCATCTTACAAAGAAGATGATGGGATTAAGAGATTAAAGTAAAGACAGGCATAGGAAATC